TAGCCACCAACCGAGAACAGTGAAACATAGAACGCGAAGTAAGCGACAAATAAAAATTTGCGCCCCAGGATGCTGGTTCGAGCCCCCCCGTGATCGGGCCTTCGTATGGGACGTAGCTACATGGCCTCGCCCAGACCTCAGGATCTCCGTGACTGCAAACAGAGCGCAAGGTCGCCACGCTCAACCCACCGGTGCGGAACTCTGCACGCAACCTGCACTACTCGAAATTGCCAAACTCGGACTTCTCGGTACGGGAACGGGTCCGAGAACGCTTAGGTTTGGACTCTGACGTCGTGCGCGGGAACGGGATCTGCAGACCGTTTTGGAACATTGCGGGCTTGTAATCATCTGGTACGTCTTGCTTGCGCATGACGGCGCTGTTCTGATAGCTCACAACATTCGCGTGCAGTCCTTGCACTTCTCCCCAACATATGGCACACACTTTGCGGCATCTAGATGATGACCACGATGCGAAATTGTGAAAGACATTCGAACATCGCAATGCGTTTTCACGAGTCGTCAAGTTCACAAACGCAAGTGTAGTGGTATAGTCAGGGGCTGCCTGACCTCTGAGCCCTAGGAGGCGCATCGGACCCCCTAGGGAAATGGTAAATTGCTCAGGGCGGACGCTATTGTCGCCCTCACAGCGCACTGATTACCTGGAGCGCGGAACTACACAGGGCAGGCCAGGTGGGACGTATTGTCCCCTACCGGCACAATGATGCTACATAGGAAGTGTAGTTCACAAGAGTAAACTTGTGCAACGATTTGCTCCTTTTGTGAAATGTTCACAAGGCCTGTTGGAGCCGCCGCGGCCTATGCTTCACAAGAGTGCACCTTGTGAAATGTTGCCTAGCCACGCCGCAGAGAGAAAGGAGACAAAAATGGTCCCCGCCTCAAGACAAAAGGTCAACGAGGACTATACAAAGGGTCACCTGTAAAGACGAAAAAGGTGATCCCTAACTGCACAAGGAAGTTTGAAAGGCATGCAAGTCAGTAGACGAGCGTGTTGACGTCGATTTGCGCATCACGAATTCGTTGCCGATGACGCCGCCGGAGAACATAACACTACAGAGCAGACCTGAGCAGCGCAAGCCTGGGACACGATCCACAGACCAGGGTTTCTCAGTGGGTCTCTCACCCCCGCACTGAGATGGTCTACGCCCTCAGTGGGTCTCTCACCCCCGCACTGAGACGTCGGCCAGGCCTCGAAACCTGGAGCGCCGAAACGTCGAGTCCATCCAGACAGACGTGAACCTTGGCCCTGGTGCCAACGAGTGCACTGCAACATCCACACAATAGCGTCAAGCTCACCAGAAGCAAACACCAGCGGTCCCAGCGCGGTGGCTGGGTCGACACCGACCGTGAATCAGCATCTCCCTCATGTCCCCCAGTCAAGAGGGTCTGTAGACGCGACCGTAATGCCTGCGTGACCTCTCACATCCGCAGACATAGCCGATCGCCCCGGCCGCATGAGGTACACGGCGTAGGGGGGTAAGGCGCTCTCACCGCCCGCCCCCCAGTTCACAAACGCAAAGCCGAAGTTGCACTTAGATTTGAAGTCCATTGGGAGATAGAGAAGATCGAACTGCCCTTCGAAACCCTTCTCCTCAAGCAAGTCGATCAACTTGGCCCGTGAAAACGCGGTGGGTAGATTGCGCATCATCACAGTGGTCCGCTGGTCGCCGCCTTTCGGGACAAACGCCGCCGCCTTCACGTTCAAAGGCGTGCACGGGGTGCCCGGCTTGCGAGGAGAGAGCTCGTTTCCCAGCTTCACGATTCGCACTTGCATGGGGCTCATCGCCCTGCTGGAAGGAGCCTGCCGACAGTCGTCCACAGTGGAGAAAGAATCGTCTGAGATGGTAGAGGTGAAAGCAGCAGAGTCGATCTCCAACTGGCTGTGGACCCACATCGGGAGCAACGGATTTGCAGCGATCTCGGCATCCCCGCCGCGCGGCACATCCTTCTTGACCGAAGCGGCAGAGAGAAGGCTCGACGTGAGGAGGTAACCGCCAAGTGCGGGCCCTTCATTCATTGCGCTGACCTCTGTCATGGAGGACGCGACTCGGAACATGGAGACGTTCGAAACACCGATCTTCAAACAAAACGGTACCTTGTAATCCTTAATTTGCTGCTGGCGATCGGCCGTGAATCGCGCCCCACGCCAACTTGAGCCAAAATGGTTACGGAAGAGGGACCTGCCTTGTTGGAAGGCAACTGGCGGAAGACCCTGAAGCAAGCCAAAACATCGTTTTCGGTATCCCAGCGCCACGGATAAACTTGACTGTTCCGTCTTGACGATCCTGAATCGTGCCAGAACGCCGTTCCTGGACTTAAACACCGCCCCCATAATCTTGAATCCTTCCAGAACACGATTTCCGGTACGTCGATCATGGGAATAAGTGTAACTCTTGCATGTATTTAACAATAATGTGTGCAACGCTTAGGCGAGAGCCACATTTTGGAACGGATCCGCCTTCAATACATGAAACTATTGCAAATGTTTAAGACGAGTGTCCGCGGCGCCAAGGCGAGAACCACATTTTGAAAACGGCCCGCCCTCAATCTGTGAAGTTCCTGCATTTGTTCCCAACCATCCTGTGGTGTTGGGTCCTCGTTTCGAAGAGACGGCCCCCGCGTTTTCCATTCTTTCCTCCTCCCCCCACTCCTCCCTAACTTCGTGGCCCCGCAGGGAGCTCCACCGAAGGCTCAGTGGGACCGCCCGCATGCGTCATCCACCAGCCAGCACAGCACTTCGTGGCCCCATAAAAGGAGCTCTACCGAAGGCTCCAATGGGACCGCCCGCTGGCGTCATCCACCACCCAGTACAGCGTTTCGTGGCCCCATAGGGGGCTCCAGCGAAGATCCCGGTGGGACAGCCCGTATGCGTCATCCACTACCCAGGACAGCACTTCGTGGCCCCATAGGGACTTCCACCGAAAGCCCCAGTGGGACCGCCCGCATGCGTCACCCACCACCCAGTACAACGCTTCGTGGCCCCATCGGGAGCTCCACCGAAGGCCCCAGTGGGACAGCCCGCATGCGTCATCCACCGCCCACCACAGCACTTCGTGGCCCCATAGGGAGCTCCACCGAAGGCTCCAGTGGGACCGCCCGCATGCGTTCCCCCCACCCAGTACAGCGCTTCGTGGCCCAATAGGGGGTTCCACTGGGGCCGCCCGCATCCGTCATCCACCCACCAGCACAGCGCTTCGTAGCCCCACAGGGGGCCCCACCGAAGGCCCCACTGGGACCGCCCGCATGCGTCATCCACCACCCAGTACAGCGTTTCGTGTCCCCACACGGAGCTCCACCTAAGGTCTCCGTGGCGGAACTCGCATGGCGGCCCAGTGGAGTTCGCATGGCGGCGACTTTCGATGTTCGGAGGTTGTTCGGCGTATTCGACGTATTGAGGCCGCTTTCGGGCCGCGCATCCCGGGCGGGAGCCAGCCTGCTCGCTCTCTGCTCCGCGCAGCGGACGACCCGAGCGCGTCGCCGGGACCCCTTCGGGGCGACCAGCGCGCGTCGCGGGGACTCCGGGCGGCGTCGCGCCCGCAGCCTTGGGCGTGGGCGTGCACGGGCAAAGAGGGAGAAGAAGAACGGGAATGAAGCGGGCGCGATCCTCGTGAGAGGCGTGCCGACATGGGCGTCGACATTTATGCACGTAAACTCACGCGCGGAGGAGGGCAAGGAGGGCGAGGAAGAGGAGGGGAAGAAAGAGGAGGAGGAGGAGGAGGAGCAGGAGGAGGAGCAGGAGGAGGAGGAGGAGGAGGGCTGGAGGGAACAGGGCGAGGAGGGCGAGGACGAGGAGGAGGAGGAGGAAGGCTGCAGGGAGGAGGATGGCGAACAAGAAGCTTCGTGCTGCCTCTGCGGGGCAACGACAGGAGGGACTGGCACACCCGGGGATGCATCGACCGGGAAGCAGCGATTCATCGTCGATAGATCGGCGACAGGCCCCCGGTGGCGAATCCGCACTTTCCTGGGCGGGGGTCAATGGGCGATTGGGGGATCGATGCATCCACCCCTAAGATCGGCGATCAATGGGCGATCGGAGGTCGACGCATCCCCCTCTGAGCCTAGTTCCCCCCCCCGCTAGCGCTGCCCCTGAGGGCCCCCCCCACCGAAGGCGCGGGGGGCTCCCCCGCAGGGATCGAAGGCTTGCCAAGCAGCAGGCCTCTTGGAGGGCAAGAGGCCCCCCCCCCCCCTGCCTACGGCACGCTCGTGTCGTGCCGACTTCGGCGTTGGCTTCTGACACCGCGGGGATCGTTCAACCTTGAACGATCGGCCGTTTCCGAAACGTCAGATCGTTAAAGATCGACCGATTCTGGGTCGCCAAAGACGCTCAACGTCGAACGCTGGCGGCGGGGTCGCCGCCGGTCAGCATGACGCGATCCTACCGCATCCCCCCCTCACCGTTGCCCCTGCGCCTCTCTCCCCCTCCTCCTCCTCCTCCTCCTCCTCCTCCTCCTTTTCCTCCTCCTCCTCCTCCTCCTCCTCCTCCATCTCCCCCTCCTCCTCCTCCTCCTCCTCCTCCTCCTCCTCCTCCACCTCCCAAGAGCCCCAGCAAGGGCAAGGACAAGAGCCTCGACAAGTGCGACAAGAAGAAGGGCACAGGAGATGGCACTCCAGCCCCTGACCCTTGGCACCATGGCGGAGGAGATCCCTGGTCTCCGGCAGCTCGTCCTGCTGCTGCTGCTTCTGCTCCTCCTCCCGATCCTGCACGCGAAGTGGCGGCGCCGGCAATGGAGTGCCGCGCTTGTGTCCGTGCGCGCCGGTTCGGCGCCCTGCATTGGAGTGACCATGGGCCGCTGGGACGGCCGTCTCCTCTCTGAGGTTGGGCTTTCTGGCATGTCGGTTGGGGTGGTAGCCCTGTGCCGCTTAGCGGTGCAGGGTCTCTCCTCTAACCTTCGTTGCTGGAAGGTTCAGCCTTGTCCGCTCGAAGTGTCCAATCCAATCCTCCTCCTCCTCCTCGAGGGGAGGGGGAGGCCCGGAGCCGCGGCCTGCCGACCACGCTCTCGCCATCGACCAGCGTACCCCTGTAGAAGGCCTCCGACGGCCACTGCCTGCCCGGCGCCCGACGTGCCTCGACGCCGTCGTCGTCGGTCGTCGTCGACGTCGTCGTGCTCGCCGCTCGCCGGTCGTCGTCGTCGTCGTTGTCGCCGTTCGCCGTTCGTCGTCGTCGTCGTCGCCGTCGTCGTCGTCGTCGTCGTCGTCGTCGTCGTCGTCGTTGTCGCGGTTCGTCCGTCGTCGTCGGTCGTCGTCGTCGCCATTCGTCGGTCGTCGGTCGTCGGTCGTCGTCGTCGTCGTCGTCGTCGCCGCTCGTCGGTTGTCGTCATCGTCGGTCGTCGTCGTCGTCGTCGTCCTCGTCGTCGTCTCCGTCGGCGTCGTCGCCAGTCGTCGTCGCGATCGGGGAATCAAAGAACAAAGGGACGCCCATGCGGCAGCAGACCCCGAAGAACCAGCGAATACCTCCGAGCACCTCGAAACTTGAGCCTCTTCGCTCCTCCCTGCGCGGAAGCGGCCCTCGAACACCAGGAGCGCCCCGGATCGGCGGCACGGGCACGAGGCCTCGCCGTCGCCGTGGCCGAGAAAGAGAGGAAAAAATGACACCCTTGATATTGTTTATGGCTTATTCCCGGAAGCGGTCGTTGCCCTGGGGAGGCTTTGGGGCCCCAGGTGATAGTAACGCTTGGGCGGGGTAGGGTACGTGGGGACGGGGGATGCGGCGCAACCGCCACACTGCGCGCTCGAGCACCAGCATGTGGGGAGGCCCAACCTCCCCCCCCCCCCGACGGGGGTGGTTTGGCACGGGTAACGACCGTTACGTGCCAGAGGAAAACAGACAATCTCTCGTCGCCGTGGTCGAGACATCTAGAAAGGGGCCCAGGAGGGACACACACACACACAAACAAGTACACACACATCCAAGGACACCCTCAGATCTTCCAGTTGTTTCTGGGCTTGCGTCTTCCCCCCCACTTCCCGATCTTCTGGGACTCGAAGATTCATTGTGTCTCGGAAGTGTCTCGGGACTTACGGTCAAATGAATACGACGGGCTCGGAAGTGCTCCCCCGAACGCCACACCAGGGCCCCAGCGACACCCGAGAGGCAACCGAAGGCTTCCGCGCCGAGCCCCGGCCGTATCGGCGGGCACGCGGCCCAAACGCCCCCCACTTGAAATTCTAAACGGGCGTCCGCTTGCGGGGAGGGGCCCTGGGGCGATCCACTTCGAAGTATACAATTTATGAAGGAGGGTGGATGGAGCCTGGTGTGGGCGATTCTGCCTGGGAGGTCTTCGAAATCTGCCAGGTTCGGCCCCTGGTTTGGCCTGGTTTGGCCGCGCGCCCCGCTTGCCTGGGGTGGCCCCTGGTTTGGCCTGGTTTGGGCCTGGATTCGTTAGAGACGTCCTCAAACTTTGTCGGGGTTTGCCTTGGTTTGGCCCGGTCTGGACCTGCTTTCGCTTGGGACGTCATCAGAATTTGCTTGGTGTGGCTTGGGTCCAAGTTCGCTTGAGACGGCCTGACAAATTGCCTGGCTTGGCCTGGGCAAAGCGAAAACAAGCGAAAACACGCACGGGTGAGTAACATCCGTTATGTGCGCCATGCGGTTTGAACACGCTGTGGGATGTGTCCAGGTTTCCTCGGCACGGGATCTGTAATTCACAGACGCCGTGGTGGACGTGTACCCGAAGTAACTGCACGGTGCCATGAATATCCGTTGTAGCCCACATGCAGCACGACTGCGCCAGAAAGAAGACGGGCGCGGCATGGGTGTTGACACTCCCCAGGACGCTGTGGATCGGCATGGGCGTGCGTGGCGGCGTCGGGAGACAACCCGTCCGATGCGGTAGGCTGGTGTACAACGAAGCGACGGGGTAACGCGCACAGCTCGAAGAACGGCGCGCATTCCACTGACAACCGACACTCTCGATCCCTCGCGACTCGAGGTTCGAGGTTTTACTGTGCTTTTCGCTCGCGTTGGGAGAATTGGGGGGGCTTCTCGTCGCCACGGCTGGGTTCCTTTTTGACACTCTGGTCTGCACGCACGCATCACAGGAGGGATACGGGAGAGCTGATGTCGTCGTTGTCGCCGTTGTCATGGTCATGGTCGTCCTCCTCCTCCAACTCCTGCGCCTTCTGCTCATCCCTCCTGCTCCTCCGTCTGCTGCTCCGCTGCTGTTGCTCATCCTTCTCCGTGAAGGAAAGGGGAGGGGAGAGGTGGTGGAGGCGGAAGAGGAAGGAGGCTGGGGAGGGGAGGGGAGAAAGGGGAGGAGGAGGAGGAGGAGGAGGAGGAGGAGGAGGAGGAGGAGGAGGAGGGAGGAGGAGGAGGAGCAGTAGTGGACTGAAGATGAGGAGGAGGAAGAGGAGGAGGACAGTGACGCGCACATCGTAGAAAGCCCGGCCAGGACGCCAACGACGATAACTACGACGACGCTCGGCCTGACCGCCGACCGCAGCAATGACGACAACAACAACGACGACGACGACTCTCGGCGTCTACGCCCACCAGCATCCGACGTCGTGCTTGTTTCGCAACATGGCTCCGCTGGACCTGCCCAAGGGACCGGATTTTCATCCCGAATCATCTTCTGACGGTTCAGGGGCCCAGGGCGGGGTTCCGCTGTCATGAGTTCTTGACAGCCAGAAGATGCCCAACCGTAACGACGTCGACGATGGCAACGCCGCTCGGCCTGATCAGCCTCGACCGGAGCCCTGGACCCCATCTGCCTGCTGCACTCTTCGAGCCGGATCGATCTCTGAGGGCCCGGGGGCCCGAAAATCTAGGCCAAATCGCCTGTTGTGTGAAACAATTGCGGCGCCAAGATCTCGCGGGCGAAGATGTCAGGGACGCCGGAACGACGATGTCGACGATGGCGGCGCCCAGCCTGATCAGCGGGTGCATGCGGTACTGCACCCGCAGAGCCGCCGGCCGCAGCGGGGGCAATTGCAGCAGCCGGCTGAACAGGGAGAGGCCCAGCCCGGCCGACTCCGCCTGCAGAGAGGAGGAGGACCTCACCCTCCCACCCTCCTCCCTCCCTCCCTCCCTCCCCCCTCCTCCCTCTCCCTCCTCCTCCCTCCCCCTCCTCCTCCTCTCCTCCTCCTCCTCCTCCTCCTCCTCCTCCTCCTCCTCCTCCTCCTCCTCCTCCTCCTCCTCCTCCTCCTCCTCCTCCCCCCTCCGCCTCGATGTTCTCCTCCTCCCTCCTCCTCTTCTGCTCCTCCTCCTCCTCCTTCTCCTCCTCCTCCTGCCCCACCTCCACCTCCCCACTGCTCCTCCCTCCCCCTCCCTCCCCCTCCCCGTCTTTTTCCTCCCACCCAATCCTCCTCCCTCCTCCCTCCTCTTGCAAGGGCACCAGCGGTCAGCACCGAGAATCTGTATAAACTGGAGTGGACCAGGCTGCATCGTCATGGAGCCAAAGTCGATTCGAGTGGTGCGCGCCAGGATGCGCAGCAACGCCACACAAACAGCGGGCCGCATCGGATCGTCGGAATAACGGAATCGACTCTGATCGAACAAGACAGACCCGACAGCGAGTCGGATCAATCGGATCGGAATAGGCCCTCGGGGGGGTATGTCGAGCTCGCTGCATGTTGTAAGAGGTGCGTAGACACCTCGAGGAATGATGCGGCCATGCGAGAAGTACTGGAGGCTGTGGCAGCTTGCCACGTGAAACAGTATTTGCCGATGGTGGTGACTCATGAATTGAAACACTACTGTTGGTGGTCACCTGTTGGTGGAGGGGAGACATTCTTTTGGAAGGGCGAAAAGGGGAGGAGGAGGAGCAGGAGGAGGAAGACGAGGAGCGAAAAGAGGTGGATGATGGCTCTTTTTTCCCAACCCTCCTGTGGTGTTGGGTCCTCGCTCTGAAAAGACGGTCCCCGCGTTCCTCCCTCCTTCCTCCCTCCTCCTTCCCCTCCTCCTTTCTCCCCCTTCTCCCTGCGTTTCACCCACCCAGTACAGCGCTTCGTGGCCCCACAGGGAATTCCACCGAAGCCCCCAGTGGGACCGCCAACATGCGTCCGCCACACCCAATTTAACACACCCCTCACACGTTTCGCGGCCCCATAGGAAGCTCCACCGAAGGCCCCCAAAGAGACCGCCCGCATGCGTCCCCAAAACCCAATTTGGCACACCCCTCACACGCTTCCCGGCCCCATAGGGAGCTCCACCGAAGCCCCCAGTGGGACCGCCCGCATGCGTACCCCAAACCCAATTCGGCACACCCCTCACACGTTTCGCGGAATCCACAGGGAGCTCCACCGAAGCCCCCAGTGGGACCGCCCGCATGCGTCCCCCAAACCCAATCTGGCACACCCCTCACACGCTTCGCGGCCCCATAGGAAGCTCCACCGAAGCCCCCAAAGAGACCGCCCGCATGCGTCCCCAAAACCCAATTTGGCACATCCCTCACACGCATCGTGGCCCCATAGGGAGCTCCACCGAAACCCCCAGTGGGACCGCCCGCATGCGTCCCCAAAACCCAATTTGGCACACCTCTCACACGCTTCGTGGCCTCATAGGGAGCTCCACCGAAGCCACCAGTGAAACAGCCCGCATGCGCCCCCAAAACCCAATCTGGCACACCCCGCACACGTTTCGTGGCCCCATAAGGAGCTCCACCGAAGCCACCAGTGAAACAGCCCGCATGCGCCCCCAAATCCCAACGTGGCACACCCCTCACGCGCAGGGAGCTCCACAGAAGGCGCCAGTGCCACCGCCCGCATGCGTCCGTCACCCACACCCATGTCGTCACACGCCTCACACGCTTCGTGGCTCCATAGGGAGCTCCAACGACGGCCCTTGTGCCACCGCCCGCATGCGTCCCCACGCCCATTCCAGCATACCTCTCCCGCGCTTCGTGACCCCATAGGGAGCTCCACCGAAGGCGCCAGTGGCTGCGTTCGCATGCGCCCACCGCACCAATTTCGGCACACCTCTCACACGTTTCGCGGCCACACAGGAAGCTCCATCGACGGCCCCAGTGGCTGCGTTCGCATGCGCCCACCGCACCTATTTCGGCACACCTCTCACGCGTTTCGTGGCCCCATAGGGAATTCCACCGACGGCCCCACTGGCTGCTTTTGCATGCGCCCACCGGACAAACTTTGGCACACCCCTCACAAGTTTCGTGGCCGTATAGCGAACTCCTCCGAATGCGGTGCATACAACGACGATACTCACAACTGCATATGAATGGGTCCTTTGCCAGCTAATTATGTCTTTGTGTTTTTGTTTTGTTGCTCTCTCTCTCTTGCACAGCGGGAGTGGCGTGTAGCAGTCTCTGAAGAGGACGGGGTCACCGAATCCCTTTCTTTATAAAAGACTCCCCCCGGTCGCACCCCGAAGCGTGTCGGTAGGGCGGGCTGGGCGCGTCCGCTGAGACTTCTTCACCGCGTGTGTTCCTGAAGCTTGAGATGTGCTTCGCGGATGGAGGGCGGGCTGTTTTCGAAAGGTGGCTCTCGCCATGGCGGCGCGCGCATTCGTCCTCAAATTTTGGAGCAGCTTCGCGGATGAAGGGCGGGTGGTTTTCGAAATGTGGCTCTCCCCCCCAAAAGAACGCGAACATTCGTCTTCAAGGTATGCAGGAGCCTCACGGATGGGGGGCGGCTTGTCTTCAAACCGCTTTATCTCTGATCCCCGCCTCTCCCAATGCTTCGCGAGCCTCCTCTGAAACGCTGGCTCCCGCGCTGCCCCGAGGGCAAGGCCGCACTGCACGGACCCGAAGCACCACCGACGACACGCCTGGCCAAAATGGCATAGAGCAGGGCGCGCGCCTCCGAAGCTAAGAGTGGCTGGGCAGTGCAATGCGCGCCGGCGATCGGCGGGAGCATCAGCACCTGGACAGCGGTGAGCGGACCAGGAGCCCAAGACGGAACGGGGGAATGAGGACGAGGAGGAGGAGGAGGAGGAAGAGGAACATGCGAATAAACTGCGACAGGAATTGGCAAACGCCTGTGCTGGGAAACATGGCGCCCCTACAGGCCCCAGGGAAGGCAGCTCGCGAATCCAGATCAAGGTCAGGGGGATGACAAAGCTATTAGCGTTGTCCTCAACGGGCCCTCGAACCATCTGGTTTCCTCCTCCTCCTTCTTCACCACCTCCCGGTCGCGGACAACAGCGACGACGGCGAATTCCTCGGGAACCCTTGAGATTCTCTGGAAGCCCTGGGAGATTCCTTGAGACATGTGGGGAAAACAGGGTGACGTGATCGGGGGGGGGAGGGGCGGGGGCGATCACGGGCGTTATCGCCCAGACTGAAAAAAACGAGCTCCAGGGGCTGACCAGGAAGCACGGCGGGGTGGCATAGTCCAGGACGACTGCGACAGGCAGACGGGCCCTCCTCGCCGCGGCTTGACGGCAGCCGCGGCGATCCTCGGCCCCGCCACGCCGAAGCAACCGACGGGATCGTGCAGCCCAAGACCGCGGCGACTGGCAGTGGGCCCCCCTCGGGAGGACTGGGCGGCAGCCACGGCGATCCTCAGCACAACCGCGCCGATGCGAAGAAACAGGGGCGGTGCGGCTAAGATGCCCTCGAGAGGGCGCTACCAGGCTCCCCGACGGCGGCGGCCGTGCTTCTCTTGCTGCGCCCAGCGCGGAGCCCCGAGAAATCCCCGGGAAGGCGCCAAGAGTTCATGCTTGTGGCGTCTGTTCTTCCTCGAGGGCTACCAGCGGCAGCGTATCCTTGCTACTCGTTCTCCCTCCCGATCGTCTGCCCGGAGGACACTCGCTCGCGCGTGGCTTGAGCAGGGACCGACCGTCCCGGCATTCCTATGGTCATACCACGAAATGTTCTTAGAACCCGAAAATGTTCTAAAAACAAGAGCAATGCTCTTAGGACATAAGCCCGACTTGTTGAAACAAGACGGTCCCAGCCAGAAATGTTCTAAGAGCATCTTTCGTGGGATCCACAAAATGTTCATATAACATTAGAACATTGTTTGGTGGGGCTGTAGGCGAGCCGGGACGCTTCGCCACTGCTCGCGCGTGGCTCTGCTTCTGCTGGCCCCGGGCAAGAGAGCGGCCTGCGCCCCTGCGGGAGCGGGAGAGCTCTGAAAAGACGCCGGCCCTCGGCGCGCCTGCGACAGCGCCGCGCGCGCGGCCACACTGCCCAAGGGGGCCCCAAGAGTATGCGCCCCCTCCCTCCTCTGCCCTCCCCTTCCCCTCCTCTTTCCTGGGGGAGGGAGGGGGCGAGAGAGGTGGTGGTGGTGCCCACTCTTGGGCCCCGTGTCCCATCGGGCCGGCGATGACAAAACATGCGCCGTGCTCGAGCGGGAGTGCAACGTTCAGACGAAATCTGCGCGGGCTGGAGCCGGAGCGACATTGCGCTCTGTCGCACGCGGCCCCGTTCTCGGCGACCCAGCGAGACAGGATTACATATATACACTTGCCGCGCCCGTGGCGCGCTCATGCAGGATTACAGATATACATTCTAGAATCCTCTGCGCGGGGCGAGGGTCAGAACGACAGGTCAGCCGCTCGGTCGCGATGTGCTCCGCGTCACCTTCCTGCCAAGCTTTCCGCAACGTCGACAACATAATAGCAGCGTTGAGAAGGCAAACGTGGACTCTGCATTGTTCTTGTGTCCTGTTGACGGGTAGAGTGGCACCACCTGTGTGGAGCCTGGTGGAAGACCGACAGCGTGGAGAGTCGAAGTGAATGGCAATAGGGAGTACAGATGAAAGCACGAGTATCCACGAAACGAGAGAAGGAGACTGAGTAGGAATACGCAGGAGGGAGGCCACCGTCCCTCCCCTCCAACGCAGCTCGTCTGGTCGTGACGTCGGCCCCTGGGGATCTCGATCCCCTCCTCGGCGCCGTCTTTGCACCCCGAATCGTTTTGTGACGGTTCCCCCGGCCACGAAATAGCCTGCAGACGCGGAACACGTCAAAAAACAGAGCGTCCAAAAACGAGCGGGGGAGGGGCGGATCTATAGTTGTATTCACTTTGACTGTCTTGAAGCTGTCCTCTCCACTGCTCGTGCAAACATCCCGCCATCCCACCCGCAACTTGGTCGCAAGACTTCTGAAGGCCGTGGCGGTGGGTACCAAATGGCACTTGGCAACGACAGCGACGCCGACGACGACAGCGACAACGACGACGACGACGACGCCGACGACAACTGCGACGACACCGACGACGTCTCCGACGACTTCGACGACGACGACGATGACGACGATGACGACGACGCCGATGCCGAATCCGACGACGACGACGAGGCCGACGCTGACGACGGCGACGACGACACCGACGAGGACGACGACGACGACGACGACGACGACGACGACGACGACGGAGACGACGACGACGACGTCCCCAACGAAGACGACGACGACGAGGGAGGAGGGAGGACGACGACAGCGACAACGACGACAACGACGAGGAAGGAGGGAGGACGGCGACGACGCGAACGACGAAGAAGGAGGGAGGACAGCGACGCCGACGACGACATTGACGACGACGACGACGATGGCGACGAAGTAGGAGGGACGACGACGACGCCGACGACGGACGACGACGACGACGACGAGGGAGGAGGAAGGACGACCACGGCGACAACGACGACGGAAACGACGACGACGCCAAAGAGGACGACGACGACGACGAAGAAAGACAGAGGACGACGCCGACGACGACGACGACGACGAGGGAGGAGGGAGGACGGCGACGACGACGACGACGACGCAAGAGCGCGCGCGCACGCTTTTGTTGAAAATCCGTGTTGCGAAACCCTGTGTTTTGGTATGTCTTTTGGACGCTCGATTTCAAAACCATTCCGAAACAAAAGGTTCTTGAAGGATTTCGGCATGCGCGCGCGACGACGCGCGCGCCTGCACTTCGTTCCGTTTTTTTGCAGAGGATTCTCGCGAAGGCACGCGCGCAAGGGCGTTCGAACGATTTCGACATGCGCGCGCGCGAAGCCCGTTTGGTAGCATCTCAGGAATATATTGAAACATTCTTAGTTTTCTTAAGATTTCGCAAGGGCGCGCGTGTAAGCATTTTAGGAAAACAGTGTTGCGAAACCATGTGTTTTGGTATGTATTTTGGAAACTCGATTTTGAAATCCTTCCGAAACCAAGAGGTTCTTGCAGGAGTTCGGCATGCTCGCGCGACGACGCGCGCGTGCACTTCGTTCAATTTTTTCCGAGGATTCTCGCGACGCCACGCGCGCAAGGGCGTTCGAACGATTTCGACATGCGCGCGCGAAGCCCGTTTAGTAGAATTTCTGGAATATCTTGGAAAACCTATGGTCCTCTTAAGATTTCGCAAGAGCGCGCGTGTAAGCATTTTAGGAATATCAGCGTTGCGAAACCGAGGGTTTTTGCATGTGTTTTGACATCTCGATTTTGAAATTCTTCCGAAACCAAAGGTTTTTGAAGGATTTCGGCATGCGCGCGCGACGACGCGCGCGTGCGCAGTTCGTCTGTTTTTGTCAAACGGCTGCTTGAAAACTTAGGATTTTTGACAAACGAGTGTGCGCGCATATTTTTTGCAGAGGATGGCGGGAGGGGCCGATACCTCTTGGGCTGGGATAGAATGAATGCGCAGGTAGGATGGACATTGGGTCAGAATCCAATGTGTTTTGCATCTGTTCCGGGGGGGTCTTTCAGCCCGCGGGGGGGAGGGTGGGAGAATATATTTCTTTTTTGAACTTTAAACGAGAATCCAGAAAGAAAAACAGTCTGCCACGCCGGCCAGACGATTCCATCAGCGTGTCCTCATGCTGCCAAAGTGCCGGGCCTTCTCACGAAGCATCGAGCGAGTGGCACGCACAGTCTGAACGACGACGCGCGTGTCACGGATACTGTTTACAATCGAATCGAGGTTGATTAGAAAGGACACGCGAGAGGACACAAGACCTTTCCGAGGGCCACATTGCTGTAGGAATGTAAGAAGGCATGGGTCGCGAAGGGTCGCGAAGCTCAGGACACAGGGGTACCCTCTATTTGACAGGGTCGACCTACTAATCCGTATCGACTGTGTCCCTTCCTCCCGATCTCAACTGCCCCGATACGCAACCTGCAACACGCGGCGAATCGACACGGAGCTCAGCGCGTGGACTGAAAACGCAGGCCTGACGCGACACGTTCGCCAACACGTGGGCCCACACGCTGAGAAACGGGCGCACCGAGGCAGCCGACCTCCCCGCTGCATGCCGATGGCCCCACCCGAATGGACGTCGGAAGACGGCCGCTGCGCTCTCGCGGCCGGCCACGCCCCAAGAGGCTCCGCGGGGGCCTCCCGCGACACGCACACCGGCGGCAGCTGCTGGTGGTCGCCCACCAGCGCGAGGCGCCCGGACGGGCTGAGCCTGCAGAGCAGTGGGGTCGGGGGATCGCGCCGCGTCGCCGATGCATCCCCGCCGTGGGCGATGCCTCGGCGCCGTCGACGCGAGGCAGATCGGGCTCCGCATCGAGCCGCATCGCCGGTGCATCGGCGACGTGGCGCGATCCTCCGACCCCGTCTGCCCTAGAAGCAGAAAGGACGCCATGAGCATAAACTGCTTGGCGCTCCGCGCGGAGTTCTTGGGTCTGCGCTGGGCCCCGGAGCGCGCCAGGGGCGGCGCCAGGGGCACCGCCAGGGGGGCCCAGAGCAGATCCAAGAAACCCGCGCGGAGCGCCAAAAAGTTTATGTTCATGGCGTTGTTTCTCCTTCGATACTCGGGCCCCATCTGGGAGACCATAGGATTGGGTCGAGCGTGTCCCTCTACAGGCGGATTTTGGACGACAAGCAAAAATACCAGCTAAAATATTCAACAAAAACTCGAAAATGATAAAAGTCGTCCCCTGTAGAGGGACAGGCCCGATTTAACCCAAGGAGCCTGCTGATGGGGATCAGCGACCGCGGCTCCGTGGACTGCGACGCCTCGTCCAGCAGGATGAGGTCGAAGGACCGCCCCTCGAAGTCTCTCGCGCCGCAGCCCACCAGGGTGGCGCAGACCACCTGTGGGCAGGAGCGGTGGCGTGGTCGGCACCGGCTTGCAAGACGAAGCCAGGACGGGGACAAATTCGGCAGGCAGAGGGATTTCGCCACGTGATGCGAAAATCCCCCCTCCCCACCGAATCCCCCTCCTCTGCCTCCCCTGTATATCCTCATCCTCGTACTCCTCCTCCGATTCGCATCACGTGAGGGATCCAAGTCGCCGATTCGGGTGAGTGTAAATCGAGAACCTCTGAGATCCGACGGCTCTGCAGGATGTCTCGGGCGCCGCGGCCTTTGACGAAGCCGGGACGAAGCTGGGCGACAGGTGGTCTAACGATGTCTTTCTTTCCTCTTCCACAGACCCTTCTTCCCCTTCGGGGAAAGATTTGCCCCTCCCCCTGCCCCCTCCCCTGGACCTGGACGGGGGGGTTCGCGAGAGGGGAGCGTACAAGCTGGCCCAAGATGGCTCCAAGAGGGCCTCAGAGAGCCAGGACGAGGACGGATTCGGGTGAGGGTAAATCGAGAACCTCTGAGATCCGACCTGCGCTGAAGGACGTCTCGGGCGCCGCGGCCCTCTCGGAGCGCCCCGGAGAACGCTCCCAGAGCGCTGCGGAGCGCTCTGGAACGGACACCTGCCCTCGCCCTGGCCCCGCGCGAGCTGGGGAATCGGGCCGAAACGGGCGGTGCGTCGGATCGCAGGCTGCATCGGCACATGGCCAGGATCGAACCGGATCGGCCGCGCCAGGATGCAGAGCGGCGCCGCCTGCAGGCGGCGGGCCACACAAAGGGGGCCACGGATCATCGGAATCGGGTCGGAGTGGGCCGGCCAGAGTCGGCATCGAAGCGGATCTATGCACCCGGACCTCCGCGCTGTCCAGCACGCTCTGCACGGCGTCGGCGTAGGAGACCTTCTCTCGCAGGTGTCTGGACGTCTCCAGGGGTCTCTGGATGCTTCTGGACCCCTGATGCTGTGGAGAAGGGGGAGGAGGAGCGACTAGCGGCGGAGCGGCGAGGCGAGGAGGAGGAGGAGGAGGAGGAGGAGGAGGAGGAGGAGGAGGAGGAGGAGGAGGAGGAGGAGGAGGAGGGAGGAGGAGGGAGGAGGGAGGAGGAGGAGGAGGAGGAGGAGGAGGAGGAGGAAGAGGAGGAGGAGGAGGAGGAGGAGGAAGAGGAGGAGGAGGAGGATTCGGATTCGGATTCGGAACGCTTGCGTAGCAAAATCACAGAACACTACTTCGGATGGAGCCCTCGCTCGAATCTCGAGAGATACTCCCTCCTCTTCTTGGTGATGAGGTGGGGCTTGCATGGGCTGGCTAGGTTCCGAATCTGTTCGGACCCGAAGAAGCCACAAGCCCTGCAAATCCAAACATGTGATTTATCATGATAAATCATACTGTGCGAATGATGCACCCACCCACCCGCTATGTGGACCCCTGCCTGAGGCTGGTACAAATCCCCATAGATGTGTGCGAGCGTCCTACATTCTGAACTCAGCCAAGGGAGCCGCCGCGCCTTGATGCAGGAACTCCTGCACACCACACAGCTGAGCCCATCCTCGGACACGGTGTGGGCGGACTCGAACAGGGCGACGGCGGCGGCGGATGGGATGGGAAGAGGGGGGACAGGAAAGGAAGGAGGAGGAGGAACAATGGGAGCGGCGGCAGCATCATCGGCTTCAGACCTGCGTTTTTCGGCCTGCCTCATCTCCCTGTCGGCAATGGCGGATTCCAGAGTCGACCTCATTAAACGCTTCCTGACCAATGCTGCTTTCCTCTCCCAGGTCGCTATCCTGAAACGAGTATCGGCTGAAACACGGCACTTATCTGCAATAGCTCCCGACATGGTATCAGCACAAATATTCCCTGAAACCATCCAAGGACGAAGACGACGCGACACCATTTGCTCGGGAGACACATGCGACGGCACCCAAAAAAACATTAATGAACTGAGGCGATCGATTTTCAAGCAGCTGCCCGATGGTCCTCCAAATCGGGGCGAGCTCACCTCTGGGTTCCTTCCATCTGCCTTCCCACCAACCCCTCACAACCTCATCGTTGTCTGAAACGAAGGTCAAGTGGCCAGTGGCCAAGCGGATACCTAACTCAAGAGCGCTCAATTCCCCACGAGGTACCGTTTGAGGTGTCCCAATAAGAGGCCCCGAAACAGTACAAGATATAGAAACTGGTTCAAACTGGCCGATGACAACAATGGAGAGCCCCACACGTCTACGACGAACATCTCTGGAGTCCTTGCCGCCTGACGCATCTCCACATATGACCACTGGCTCGGTGCGCGTGCCGTGCCCAAGACACCCTGGGCACCAGTCTCCGTTGAAACCTGTGGCAATCCACTCCTCTTCCTCCACTGGCGGTTCCACCGCCGTCTTGCACCTTGGAATCAATCCACGATGCCAAGAACATGCTTCAATCTCGCTGTGCTGCATGGCTTCCAAGACGAGCTCATCTGAATCTTCGTAGATCTTATGCCCTGCGTTCCTCTTGCAACGCCAATGTCGATGGAGCGGTGTCTCTGGCTCTTCTCGGCAGCGCGGGCACAAATCCTCCTGCTTGAGACCTGCGTCGCATTTGCGGGTCTCCAACCACGCACCACCTGCAGCAAAGCACAAAAGAAGCTCAGCGAGTTGCCTCCCATGAGGCACATCTTGCAACTGAGTGAGCAAAAAACGGAGGCTCTGGTTGTCCACTCCTCCTTCTAGCCCAGCTCCGCAGAAATGGGCCGAAGCCGCTTTCCACTGCAGAGCCTGTAGGCTGGAGGTGTAGTCATCCAAGAGCCCCCTGGCCTGGTCGAGCGAGTGCAACTGGTTAGCATCAAACTTCCAGGTGAAGTCAGGTCCGCGCCAGATATCTGGAGCCTCAGGGCCCCATCCCGAGAGAAGCATCTGATGAATAAGTGCCCCAAGAGGTCCCCGTATATGCCGAGTACGCCTGTTGGGTTCCAGACTCCTCATCTGCTCCAGGACGATAGGCCAGGCACGTGCGATGCTAGACCTAGCTGCAACATTGTGTTTCCACACATGTAGCCACTGCATAAGACAAAGAACTGGAAGCCTAACTCCAGGATCCAAACCAGGTGTCCTGAGGTCGAGGATGGTCGTGATGCACCTCCCTCTTTTGTTACTGCCTGAGGCTGCTGCTAATCTGCGACGCATTCCCAACAAATGCTCCCCGAAGACGCCGTAAACTTGAGACCCATAGGAGGCTCCCGCTTGTGGCCCTGCTTGCCCTATGTTTTTGATGATGAGGTATTTCTTTGACGCCGTCGCATATCTTCTCAGTTTGTGGCTTTGCTTTTTTGCTTTCACAACCCTCTGCCTCCGAACCGCACGTGAGAGTCGTTCTCCTGCTCCTGCATCAACTCCGAGATAAGAAGCTTGAAGAACTGGCTCTACAACGATCCCCTTGGCTTTCAAAGTCTGAGCAACCTGCTTGGCGACACGATGTACTGAGCAAAGAACGACGCTCTTGCTGGCAAGCGTCAAAGACTCCTGGCTAAAAAGGCCCGTGAGGTCACCTATGCTCTTCACCAGCGCGTGCTCCACTCGCCGCTGAGAGCCCATGACTCCGAGATAAAGATCATCGATCCAAATCCTCTCCCCCATACCTGGATTCGCCACCCTCATCTTGTCCAAAATGAACAACGTTAAACACCTGGCAAACCTCGTCCCGCACCTGAGGCCCTGCTTGATACTTTGTGTTGGTTGAAATCCTTCGGGATAAGCTCCTACTTGTGACAGCATGCGCGCTGCAACACACAACTGCAGTTCTAAAAAGAGCGGCACAGGCGGAAACCCCAACCGCAGGGCGGCGAGCACGAGCTTCTTGAACTGAATATTGCCGTAAAAGCTTTTAATATCCAAGACGGCTTGCTCATAGGTAACCTGGAGTTTTTGAGCGACCTCAGCATCCAAAATCCTCTGAAAAGCCTCGAGAAGGGGAGAGTTACCCTCGATAGCCGCATCCCAAGAAGGGTTAGTATCCCGAGACCACTGTTTGCTGATGTCATCTCTAGCCAAACTCCAAATCCTGCTAAAAATCGGTAAGAGTCCTATGACTCTGTCTCCTGAACTCTTCTTCGGCAACAACCGTCCTATACAAGCCATCATCTGCCGTGGCCAGGTGAGCGTTACCTCTATCGCCTCGTAGATATTAGCAAGCTCCCGAAGGGCTCCTTCGGGTAATCGCTCGACGCCGATCGGGCTAATCTGGTCGATGCCCATACCCGCTTTAGCTTTCATACGGCTAGCTGCTCGTCTAATTTGTTGAGGCTCTAGAGGCACGAGTTGCTCTACTTTGGCAGCTTCACGAACGATACTGAAAACTTCGCACATCGAATCTCGATCAAAAGCTGGCGTGGCCCAGAGAGACTGGAACGGCTTGACCTTCGCGTCAACAATGTCCCTGGGGTGAAACAAGCGCTTGCCTTGATCACAATATTCATCAGCTGCTAGTGGCACTGCTCGCAGGCATCGGTGAACAGCTCCAACCGATGTCTCCTGAACGATCCAATCCTGAAAAGCTCTCAGAGATGCCTGAACAGCACGTCTCCTACTGCGCTGTGCCACCTTCCCAGCCTGGATGTGCATTTTTTCTAACAAATCGACACTGTGCCTGGAGATATCCCCAAGAACGTGGACCCAGTGCTCCCGAGAGAAGTTTTGATTGCCAGGAATGATGACCGCCTGCGCACCCTCGGGGAAGACGCGTGACAATCTGCGCGCAACTTCCGCTAACTGCTCTACTTGCTGCACGCCATTCGCACGAACTTTATGTCGATGACATCTCCCTAATACGGCGTGTAGCCTAGACCACCATGTAGCAACCTGATCGCTGAGAGGTGTGTCCCTGATGTGTTCCGCTTTGTGTACAGTGTGTATGACCAACTGAGGCGCATCAGCTCGAGACTTACCAGCGACTTCTTCCCCGTGGTGCTGGAGAATGCTGTGCTCAACTGTGCGAATCCAAGAATCATACATACCGCTGACTTGCAACGCGTGTTTGCCCCCAACCATGAACGCTCCTGAATTGGATACGACTGGCCAGACCTGCTCGATTGACTGGGTGGTGAAGCCCACGTTGGCCCTGTTGATGCCCCAGGTGTCGGCAGGGATGTAGAACGCTGGTCCTACTGCCTCTGCTGCCCCCTCGGGTGAAACCTCGGCCCTAAATGGGGTTTGACCAGCCTCGTTTAAATTGCAGGGGTCGGGGTGGGGGCGCACGTTATTTTGCTGCTCGCTACGTTGGGGCTGCTGAGATCCTGAACCTAAGCTAAAATCCTGAGACCAGGGGTCGATTTCTTCGTCCCAACCTCCTGCGGACTGAAACTTGAAAGGATCCTCGGGCTCATCAGTGTCTCCCCGTTGGGCGTCGGCCTGGGGGGCCTGGCTGCCCTGAAACAAACCCCAAAAAAACTGATTACAGGCTTCGCTAAACTTCTGTTGAAATGCTGTGCGACGCGCATGCTTCTTACGCTTATTGGCCTGAGACTTACTACCAGCCTGTGCTGCCTGTCCAGGCCGCTGCACCTGCGGCAACTTCCTGGCCAGGACGAGAGACCGAGTGATGGGCTGAAGGCCCTCGCTCCTAAAGCGCACTTGATGTCCACAGCGCGTGCCCCACGGCACGTCGATGACCGGCTGCATGTCTAAGATATACGGTGCGGCTGACTTAGAAGCAAGCATGAAATCTATGTGTGACGCGCCTGTACCAGTGATACACGTGCGTTCGATATCCGAAGTGAAAACGACCCCCCCCCCAAAACAAAAAAACCTTATCTATATACCCGCAGCGGGCAAGGTCAGTGGGGCTCATGCTGAAGTCTCCTACCATGACCCAGGGGATCAGCAAAGAAGCTAAAAGGCCCCAACTCTAGACAGCCTGCGTGCATTATCTCCGTTGAACCCCAAGGATGATATCCCATAGTAGGATAAAATAACTAACGAATAGCCCTGAAAATGGGCAACTACAAGTACGAACCCGCCAAAGGCCTCTCCTGACTCACTACAGACTTCGGGGTAATCGCTGGGATTAGCGAAGGTGTGAACCTGGCGGTGACCCTGGGTTAAAAGCAGCTCCCCTCCTTCTCCTTTGGCGCCGTCTGAGTCGACTTGGCCAGGACGAGCGGGATTGAAAAAGGCCTTGAAATTGTTGGCACGAAACTTGCTGCCCCATTCTGCAAGCTGTGCCTGCTGCAAATGTGTCTCAGTGAGAGCGAACATCTGATGCTGGGCCCTGACGGCTTTGTCCGAAACATAACTCCAGGCCTTGGGACCCCAACATGAAACGTTGCTGAAAAACAAGGATGAAAAAAAGCTGGCTCTGGTGAGGCCTCGCTGCCTGTCTCTGCCACTCCCCCTGGGGTGTGCTCAGAGGACGACAAAGTACTCCCCGTCGAGGTTGCCTGTCTCGAAAAGGTCGTCGCGTGGGCTGCAGGCTGGCCCCCGCTCGGCCGCTCTCAGGCGACCCCGCCACCGACCTTCTTGGCCTCCTCCGCGGCGGCCAGCTTGCTCTCCGAGATGATCTTCGCCGCGGCCCTCATGGCCTCCTCATGAGCCTGCTCCTGAGCCTCCTGGGTCTGCGCGCTCTCGGCGGGCGTTGGTGGGGCGCTGGGCGCGGCCGCCTGGCCTCCGCTCTCAGCTGCCTCGCCACCTGTGCCTCCACCGTCGCCGCTCCCCGTCTTCGGCTCATTCGCCCTCCTTTTCTTGTGCATGCGGTCCGCGACCTGCTTCTTGATGGCCTCCATGCGAGACTTCCACTCCTGAACTTTGTTACCTCGATCTGTCAGGTTGAGTTTCGTTTGTTGAAGCTCCTGTTCTAATTTGCGAAGCTCCACACGTTCAGATTCCTCGCATTCGTACTCATCCAATCTCGAGAAGAAATCTTCATCCCATCTCAAATCAAAGAAATTGTCCTCCTTGTCCTTGTTTGGAGACGTCGTGAGACCTGATTCCTCGGCTAGCTGCGCAATAGCATTCTTCTTGGTGAACTCTGCTTTAGCCAAGGCAAGGGCGCATTCAATCTCCCGTTCCTCAGCTCGCCGTAAATTCTCTCTGCATTTGATAACCTGTGAAACTGCCTGCTCACGTTTGAAAGTACAATCTTTCCATGCTGAGGTCGCTTGTTTCACAGCCTCATCCGTGGAAATTGTTTTGCTTCCTTTCTGCTGATGCTCCTTCAACGCGACCAGCTGATCCAGCAGCACCTTCTTCATATTGAGATCGCTCGTCTCGCTCAGCATGGTGGTCAGCATGGCTTGAAGCTCCATTGGATTGGCGTCCTTGCCTTTGCCTTTGCCCTTGGATCCACCATTGACGATGTAGAACTGGTTGGCATTGCTGGAGTCGACCTGATCAACACCCTTCTGCTTTGGCTTGTATACTTTGACACTGCACCGACATTTGGAGCATTGATTGTTCTGTGACAATAACACATCGTTCCACTCGTGTTGATGACATCGTGCACATGTGCTCCAAAGCCGTGCGCCCTTGCCCGCCATGGCTGGAGTCTGACGAGACTGAGGGCTGGTCTTGGCCCTGCTCTTGCTGCCAGAAACTGCTGCTCACTGGGAGCGGAAGGTCTGGCACCCCTCAAGCACCACGTGGAGGCGCAGGGTTGGGCTCGGGTGCCAGCAAAATGCGGCTCGAGCCCAAGTTGCTTGAGAGGAGGAGGAGGAGGAGGAGGAGGAGGAGGAGGGGGAGGAGGAGGAGGGGGAGGGGGGTGAAGAGCAGGATAAGGAGGAGCAGGGGGCCTGCTCTCCATCGGCCGCGCGCTTCAGTTCGTTCCGGAGCCGCTCCTTCGCGAGCTGGAGGACGAGGAGAACGAGGAGAAGAGCAAGAAGCCTCCTTCTCCTCCTGCCCCCTCCCCTCACCCGCCAACAGCTTCTCCACCACCTCCTCCTCCTCCCCCTCTTCCGCCTCCTCCTCCTCCTGCTACTCCTCCTCCTCCTCCTGATCCTCCTCCTCCTCCTCCCCTCCTCCTCCTCCTCCTGATCCTCCTCCTCCTCCTGCTGCTTCTCCTCCCCTTCTCCTGTTCCTTCTCCTCCTCCTCCTCCTCTCTTCCTCCTCCTCCTCCTCCTCCTCCTCCCCTCCTCCTCCTCTATCTCCTCCTCCTCCCTCCTCCTCCTCCTCCTCTTCCTCCTCCTCCTCCTCCTCCTCCTCCTCCTCCTCCTCCTCTCCCTCCTCCCCCCCGAGCTCGGACCATTCGCTTCGTAAAGCTGGCGCGGAGTGGTGGTGCAGTTGGTAGTACCATCAGCTCGCGCACTCCTCCTCCCGCCGCGACTTCTGCGCTGCCCCGCGCCGCGTGCCCGAGAGCCCCCGAAGAGGCCGTGCGCGGAGGCCCGGCGGACCGCCGGAGCAGCAGGCCGGCGTTGAACAGGGGCTGTCGATCTAGCTCCACACCACTCTCGGGTCGGACTGGGCAGATCGGCAGGGAGGAGGAGGAGGAGGGAGACGCTTCGGTACGCTTCATGTTCGTCGCTTCAGGGCGCTCTGCCCTGGCCCGACGGCCAAGGGTAAAGAGAACCTGAGGCAGATCGGCAGGGAGGAGAAGGAGGAGGAGAAGGAGGAGGAGGAGGAGTAGGAGGAGGAGGAGGGAGAGTAGGAGGAGGAGGAGGAGGAGGAGGAGGAGGAGGGAGACCGTGGTCGGGAAGTCTTGCCTGGCGCGTCGCGGCGGCGGCTCTCCACACCACTCTCGGGTCGGACTGAAGGGGGGGCGGTCAGATTGTAAGAGGAGTGCTTCGTTCTTGAGTCCCTCCCTCCTCCTCCCTCCTCCTCCTCCTCCTCCTCCTCCTACTCTCCCTCTCCTCCTCCTCCTCCTCCTCCCTCCTCCTCCTCCTCATTATAAAAGGAGTGCTTCGTTCTTGAGTCAGCTCACGCAGATGGTGCTCCCGGCGCCCTTCGGCGCCGCATGCGCCAGTGCATCGAGGAATGCGCCCAGAGACCAGCTGCACACAGCAGATTTCGTACTCCTCCCTCTCCCATTCCCCCCCCCCCCTGTCGTTGAGCCAGACACTCCCAGGATGGGGTGGTGCGGGGCCCGCTGCACGCACCACTGCCACAGATGAGGCCGCTACGGTACGCTTCATGTTCGTCGCTTCAGGGCGCTCTGCCCTGGCCCGACGGCCAAGGGTAAAGAGAACCTGAGGCAGATCGGCAGGGAGGAGAAGGAGGAGGAGGAGGAGGAGGAGGAGGAGGAGGAGGAGTAGGAGTAGGAGTAGGAGTAGGAGGAGGAGGAGGAGGAGGAGGAGGAGGAGGAGGAGGAGGGAGACCATGGTCGGGAAATCTCGCCTGGCGCGTCGCGGCGGCGGCTCCTGCGACACGCTGGCCCTTGCCCAGGCGATCTCAGCGTGTCGCTCCCGCTCCGCGGGGCGGCAGGCTGGGAGAAGCCCGGGATGCTGACGCCTGGGGACTGGGACGTGGTCAGCGTGTCGCGCCGCAGCGCGACACGCTGACCACGTCCCACTCTACCTTCTACCTGACGCCACGGTAGACCAAGACGGGGGGCGGTCCCTGGCTGACGTCAGGTGGAGTGGCACCACCAAGAAACTCGGGAAATCGGGCACCACCAAGAACCCGCGGCGCGCCACCTGGTGGGCCAGAACCCGCGGCGCGACACCTGACGTCAGAGTTCCTGCCTTGGCCGAGGCCGAGGCTGGCGCTGCCGCAGCCTGCAGAGAGCCGCAGAGTGGTGCGGGGAGCGTCGGCGGACGGGGTGGGGCTCGTGACGCGCCTCGGTGGCCAGCCGACCGCCCTCCCCCAGATTTACCGCCGCTGGCGGCATGAGGATTCATCCCCTGCTGACTGCGGTGTCGTGCGAGCGTGCTGATTTGGTCCTTGAAAGGGGGGGGGGGCCAGACACCCAACAACCAGCCAAGATGGGACATCGACCAACCCCCCGCGGTGCAACGGCGCCTCCCAGTACACAGAGGGGGGGGGGGGGGGCGGAAGGGGGTGCTCCATTTTCGTTCGCTTTGGAAGGGCCCTCAGGGCCCTCTCGGATCCCCTTTCAGGACCCGCCTCTTGGGGCGTGGGAGCGCTCCCCACCCTGCCTCAACTGAGGACTTCAGAGGCCGTCAGACGGAGGCCACCAGAGGCCGCCAGCGGTATGTGACGAGTAATCTCGCCCTGGCCATGTCTGCGTTGACTTCGACTCTCCGAGGGGTTGCCCCGTCCCCCGGGGCTTCCCGTAGACGAGCATCCTGAAGAATATCCTGCTCCCTCTGCCCTCCCCCATCCCTCCACCCTTCGCTGCTCTCCCTCTCCGCCCTCCTCCTCCTCCTGCTCCTGCTTCTCCTCCTCCTCCTCCTCCTCCATCCCTTTCCTGATGCATGACTCATCTCTCTGTCGCACCGCCAGACGTGTCGGTAGGGCGGGCCAGGCGTTTCACCCGAGGCGGCCGCGCAATGTATGAGCACGTGGCTTTAGACTTGCAGCAGCTTCACTGGTGGAGTGCAGGTCGTTCTCAAGATGTGGCTCTCGCCCTCGCGCCCTGCGCACGCGTCTAAAGCAGCTGCAGGAGTCTCCAGGAGGGGGGCCGAGGGGCTTTCATACGTAGCTCTCGCCTCTTCGCGCCGCGCACACTCGTCTTAACATTGCGCAGCAGCTTCAAAGATGGCGGGCGATTGTTTTTCAGCGCCGCGCGCTTGCACGGTTTCCTCCTGGGCCGTAGGCGACCCGAGGAGGAGGAAGAGGAGGATGAAGAGGAGGAGGAGGAGGAGGAAGAGGAGGAGGAGGAGAGGGAGGGAAAGGAGGAGGAGGAGGAGAAGGAGGAGAAGGAGGAGGACTGGTCACCTAAGCCCTTCGGAGAAACGCTCCAGGTCTTACTTCGCTTAACCATCTCGGGGTGAATTGCGGCTTTTGTGGGCGGTGCCGCTCGTCACCGCCCGTCGCCGTCGCCGTCGCCGTCGCCGTCGCCGCTCGCCGGTCTCGCAGTACTCCTCTGGTCACTCGAGAGGGTCGCAGACTGGAAGTGGTCTCCTCCTCCTCCTCCTCCTCCTCTTCCTCCTCCTTTTCCTCGTCTTCGTGATCGTTGAGATCCGCTAGGAAAATATGAAACTCATGCTCCCAACCTGCCCTGTCGCACGCACGCCCTTCCGTGACCCAGAATCAAGGGATGCCACGCCGCCTCTCCCCATCGCGCACCATGCACTGGCGCATGCGCGCCCGTGCTGGAGACGGGCTCGCGATGAGGGCGATGCGACGGAGTACCATCTGCTTTCGCCACGAACGCAACGGCAGTAGGCCAACTCCCAAGCATCTCCAGGCGCCTTTCCCGAGCTGCCAGCACATCCCGCAACTGGCCAACACATAGCCCGAGCAGGAGCCGCCAGCTTCTGGGATCAAGACTGCCAGCTCCCAACCAGACGTCGAGTCTGAACATCTTGAGGGCGGTCCTCAGCAGCTCCACAGCGGGCGGAAACTGCACTTCTCTGGTGGCCGTTCTGATCTGGGCATCCGCCATGACCGACTTCGTGTCGTGCCGAAGATTACTCCAGTCCTGCAGGCTGCGTTGAACTGCTCCGTCCCCTGCCGTCGGAAGGCCACTGCTGGCCACTGACGGGGAGAGCGGCGCGGCCTCCTCGATATAGTCGCGCGCCGCCTTGCCGCCTCTCAGAAGAGCATCTCGGGCCCACGATCGCCAGCGTTGCCAGCGGAGCCGAGCCTGTTCTGCGAAACGTGTTCGGCCACCTTGTCGACGGGCCTGGGCGATGGCCTCTAGCCTGTCGCCTCCTGAAACCGCCGCGTCTGAAAACAATGGGCGCATCTCCAAAGGCTTGAAGGTCGGGTGCCAAGGTGATATTGCTGCTGGACCGTCCTGAGGAGTTCTTCCTGGGCGAGAGCACGAAGCCGCGGCAACGGCTTCGTGCTCGAGCCGAAATAACAGCGGAGCGGCGCGGAGATCCTCCTTCCCCTCCTCCTCCTCCTCCTCCTCCTCCTCCTCCTCCTCCTCCTCCTCCTCCTCCTCCCCCTCCTCCTCCGTGGCGGGGCGGCCCCTGCGCGGAGGCGAGGGGGTCGGCCACAACAGCGGCGGCTGGGCACCCGCCCGAGCCGCCGCAGCACCCCTGCGCGGCGAGGGGGTGGGCCGCAGAGGCGGCCTCGGGCGGCCTGCCCGAGAGGCCGTTCGGCGACGGGGCGCCGAGATGACTCGTGCCCGCCACGCGCTGCGCGGAGTGCCCCGCGGCCCGCGGGCGCTCGTCGCGGCGGCCTCAGAAGAGGCGAGCCTCGCTCGAGGCAGCGCCTTGTCTTTATCCCCCTCCTCCTCCCGGAACCTGGCACCTGGTGGCTCGAGGAGTCGTCGACTGCCGCCCCCCCCCCCCCCCTCAGGGCCGGGCGGCCCTGGGGGGTGATCAAGCTAGGCAGCCAGGTGGCAATTTAATACCAGCTGCAGCTACGAGATCGTTGCAGAAAGAATGACAAACAGACAGCACGTGCATGGAGCAAGAAAGGGAAGGAGGGGAAGAGAACATAAACCTCCAGGGTGTCCTCCTCCTCCTGCTCCTTCTCCTCCTCCTCCTCCTACTCCTCATCCTGCTCCTGCTCCTGCTCCTGCTCCTGCTCCTGCCCCTCCTCCTCCTCCTCCTCCTCCTCCTCCTGCTCCTCCTCCTCCTCCACCTCCTCCTCCATTCCTTTTCCTTATAAATGACTTCTCCCTGTCGCACTCCGTGGCCAGTGTTTCGGGCGGACGGGGCGTTTCGCCTGAGGCTTCCTCACCATTTATAACTCTGACCCTCACAAACTGACAGCAGCTTCACAGATGGAGGGCGGGTGGTTTTCAAAATTTGGCTCTCGCCTTAGCGCCACGCACATTCGTTTCAAGGAGTTTCGCGGATTGAGAGGAACCCGTTTTCAAAATGTGGCTCTCGCCTTAGCGCCACGCGCATTCGTTCCAAACAATTGCAAGAGTTTCCCGGATTGAGAGGAACCCGTTTTCAAAATGTGGCTCTCGCCTTAGCGCCACGCACATTCGTTTCGAAAAACTGCAAGGGCTTCATGGTTTGAGAAGAAAATGTTATCAAATGTGGCTCTCGCCGTAGCGCCGCGCACATTCGATTCAAACATGTGCAAGAGCTTCACGGATTGAGGGCGGATCCTTTTCAAAATGCGGCTCTCGCCGTAGCGCCGCGCACATTCGTTTCTAACATGTGCAACAATTTCATGGCTTCCCATCATCCGCGTACCAGGAAAAGTGTGTTTGACAATTTCAGGATTATGCGGGTGCAGCAATTACGTTGCTTTGCTGTGTTGAAGTCCCCAGAACGGCGTTTTGGCACGATTTAGGATCGTCAAGGCGCAACAGTCAGGTTGATCCGTGGCGGTGGAATCCCGAGAACCATGTTTTGGCATGCTTTAGGGCCCTCAAGCGTCTTCCAACGAAGCAGTTCCTTCAATGAACCTGAACCGTTGTAGAGGCCTATGAGGAGGGAGCTTGGAGGGAGGGTTTATGCCAACATCGTTGATGACTCTTGGGTTTACACTGGTCCTCCTGCTCCTCCTCCTCCTCCTCCCCTCCTCCTCCTCCTCCTCCCTCCTCCCCCTCCTCCTCCTCCTCCTCCTCCTCCTCCTCCTCCTCTCCTCCTCCTCCTCCTCCTCCTCCTCCTCCTCCTCCTCCTCCTCCTCCTCCCCCTCCTCCTCTCAACGACAGGGGGGGGATCAGAGGCCAGCTCCTCGGCGAGCTGGAGCGCCTCCTCCCGGGCCCCTGGCGCCGCCGCAGCCGCGCCGGCCCCCGCGCCCGCCCGCCGGAGCGCCTGGACCTCGCCAGCGAGGGCGCGCAGGCGGCTGCGCCACGCCTGCAGAATAGCACTGGGTCGGGCATGTCCTCCTGCAGGCGGATGTTGGAGGAAATCTTGCAAGTAGTCAAGAAAACACAGAGAATAGCCAAACATAGTTTTAAACAAACTGTCCCCTGACTATGCTTTGGCTACTTTTTAATATTCATCCTGTAGAGGGACACGCCCGAATTAAGAGGATCACAAAAAAGACTTTGGCATTATTCGGCGGATCTGATTGATGGCTCTGCTGTTTCAAACCAGCTTCCTGTTTTATAGATGTCTCTCTCTCTCTCTCTTTTTCTCTCTCTCTCTCTCTCTATATATATATACACGCTCCCCCCCCCCGAACGAATTTCGACCACCCCGGGTGCCCAATAAAGCTCCACAAAGGTCCAATCTGGGTTCCAAAACGGCTCAAGAGCGCCCCCAAACAGCCTTGAACACGGACGTTCTGAACACGACACGCGTTACGTTTCAAAACGTGCGCATCAGAGCAGCTAAGAAGGCTACCCTTGGGAAGGGTACCCCGTCATCACTGTGCGGGTTGACCGCAGGTGCGGCCAGGCACTTTTGTCCTCAGCGTGCTGCGACGGCGGCCCCCGCGGCGGGCCACGTGCCGTGCGAGCGAATGGTGACGCTCGGGGGCCAGGACGTGGGCGCGTCGCACCGAAGCGTGGTGGGCCAGAACTGGCGGTGCGACACGCGACAGGCAACCCACATCACAAGGACGCAGGATAAGGATGCAAGGGCCTCGGAAGGCCACTTCGAAGCTCTTCGAGCAGGGCGCGGTCAACGAGAGAGGCCAAGGATAGACCGAGGGGGCAAGGATGCAAAGGCACCCTTGGGAAGGTTGCCCATCCTTACTATGCGGGTGTGCTGCAAGCAGATGCTCGCATCGTGGCTCGCGGCCGGACGCATCTGTGTTCGCGGGTGATAACAAGGGGCTCCGGCGGTCATTCAGGGCCATCCAGGCACCCCCGGAAAGCTCTCGGCGAGGCGCAGCTGCCGGAAAGCATCCCGAGCCGAGAAGAACAACCCAACGAACCAGCGAAAACGCCCGAAAACGCTCGAAGGTCCTGGCCGTACTCCCCCCAGAAGGTACATTGGGGGCCCATGCCAAGAAACACCCTGCTTGCCTCCAGGGTGCCCTGGGTGTCTTGGGTTTCGATGGTCTTGCCGAGGAGAGCGTGAAGTTCCCACGCCAAAAATCAGTGGACCTCCTGACGTCCTGGGGCCTCAGGGTTGAGTTTCTTGTGGAAGGTTCCTTGAAACCAGCGGGCCCCCGCCTGCCACGGGTGCAGAGGAGGAGGAGGAGGAGGAGGAGGAGGAGGAGGAGGAGGGGGAGGAGGAGGAGGAGGGGGAGGAGGGGGAGGAGGAGGAGGAGGAGGAGGAGGAGGAGGAGGAGGAGGAGGAGGAGGAGGAGGAGGAGGAGGAAGGACTCGTGTGGTCTGGCCCCTACTGTAATGAATGCTTACGCTAAGTTGTATCCCCTCGAACGCCTCGGGACTGCTCCTCTGCTGCGCGAGGACCTCCACCTGACGGGGCAGGCGCCAACCCCGAGCCGGGACCTCTGGAGGCTCCGAGCGACATCGGGCCTGAAGCCTGTCAGGAGGAGGAGGAGGAGGAGGAGGAGGAGGAGGAGGAGGAGGAGGAGGCGGAGGAGGAGGAGGAGCGGGAGGGGGAGGAGGAGGAGCGGGAAGAAGCAAACAACTCTGCGCCGACGTCCCAAACGAAGCCTGTCAGTAGGCCATGCGCCTAGCGACGGCACGTGGGCAAGCAGGACTGCATTGAGTCTTGCGCAAGACACTCCGGGAAAACGGAGCGACCAGCACTACACAAACTCTCATGGAGGCGAGTGGCAGCAACGCGCATACACAAGTCCAGGAGGAGAGGAGGAGGAGAAGGAGGAGGAGGAGGAGGAGGAGGAGGAGGAGGAGGCGGAGGAGGAGGAGGAGCGGGAGGGGGAGGAGGAGGAGCGGGAAGAAGCAAACAACTCTGCGCCGACGCCCCAAACGAGGCCTGTCATAAGACGAGGCCAGGGCTGGGACAGAATCGGACAGGAGTGAACTGGGGATATCTGAGAGCCGGTGGTTCTGGAGGACGTATCGGAGCACTCTGGAACGCTCTGACAGCGCTCCGGAACGCTCCGGAACGATTTATCCCTGGAACACGGAGGCCGCCCGCGACGACAATTGGCGCAGCCAGTGTACCAGATGGTGCAATGGCTTATTCAATTAATCTTCGTTGCCATCTATCATCTTCAATCGGCGCCGGCGTTTAGCTGTGCTCTCTTGCCCGTTTCCCGTCGCCGCTCTCAACAACGTTTGGCTGCTCGCTTGCCCTGCCTACGCGCCCACTTGAATGCAAGGCCGACGTGCTGTACTGGGCTTGCCGGACTTGAAGGGCCCCAGGGCCGTGAACAAAAGCAAGACGGGATGGAAGGCAGATCCTGGGGACCCAGACCCCCGACGTCATGATTTTTTCATGACATCGACCCCCAAGAGGTCTGGACCCATTCCCCGAGACCGGCTTCCTGCGTCGACGTTTGACAGTCCCAGGGCCCGGCAGGGGCCCCCATGCAGAGGCCGAAGATATGGAAACGCCTCCCGTCGTGATTTTTTCATGATTCGAGGGGGTCTGGGGATATGGTTAAGTCGGACGTGTCCCCCTACAGGGGGATTTTGGGCGACAAAGAAAAAAGATTCAAACAATGTTCAAACAAATGCCCAACAATACTCGAAAACTAGTCCCCTAACTAGTTCCCCACATGCTTAGTGGGGTTATGGTTTTCTTCCATGCCTCGTCGCACCCGCGCTCCCTCACCTCACCTCCCTCTTCCCCTTCTCACACAGCGCAGCACATCACAGCACAGCACAGCACTGCTCAGCAGCACAGCTCAGCTCAGCACAGCAGGGCATAGCAGGCGTGGCATTTTCTCGACGCCATCGGGGGTTCGCAGGGGGTGGTCCCTCACCGCGGCCGCTATACACGACGGTCGTCCAGGGCACAGCAAACGTGGCACTTTCTCGACACCGTAGGGGGTGCGCAGGGGGTGGTCCCTCAGCGCGGCCGCTATACACGACGGTCGTCCACGGCATAGAATGCGTGGCACTTTCTCGACACCATAGGGGGTGCGCAGGGGGGGGGTCCCTCAGCGCGGCCGCTATGCACGACGGTCGTCCAGGACGTAAAAGGCGTGGCACTTCCTCGACACCATAGAGGGTGCGCAGGGGGTGGTCCCTACCGCGGCCACTATGCACGACGGTCGTCCAGGGCATAGCAGGCGTGGCATTTTTCTCGACACCATAGGGGGTGCGCAGGGGGGGTCCCTCAGCGCGGCCGCTATACACGACGGTCGTCCACGGCATAGCAGGCGTGACATTTTCTCGACACCATAAGGGGTTGCGCAGGGGGTGGTCCCTCACCGCGGCCGCTATGCACGACGGTCGTCCAGGACATAGCAGGCGTGGCACTTTCTCGACGCCATCGGGGGTGCGCAGGGGTGGTCCCTCAGCGCGGCCGCTATACACGACGCTCGTCCAGGGCACAGCAGGCGTGGCATTTTCTCGACACCATAGGGGGTGCGCAGGGGGTGGTCCCTCACCGCGGCCGCTATGCACGACGGTCGTCCAGGACATAGCAGGCGTGGCACTTTCTCGACGCCATCGGGGGTTCGCAGGGGGGGGTCCCTCAGCGCGGCCGCTATACACGACGGTCGTCCAGGGCACAGCAGACGTGGTATTTTCTTGACACCATAGGGGGTGCGCAGGGGGTGGTCCCTCACCGCGGCCGCTATGCACGACGGTCGTCCAGGGCATAGGGTGCGTGGCATTTTCTCGACACCATAGGGGGTGTGCAGGGGGGGGTCCCTCAGCGCGGCCGCTATGCACGACGGTCGTCCAGGGCATAGCAGGCGTGGCACTTTCTCGACACCATAGGGGGTGCGCAGGGGGGGTCCCTCAGCGCTGCCGCTATACACGACGGTCGTCCAGGGCATAGCAAGCGTTGCACTTTCTCGACACCATAGGGGATGCGCAGGGGGTGGTCCCTCAGCAAGGCCGCTATGCACGACGGTCGTCCAGGGCATAGCAGGTGTGGCACTTTCTCGACACCATAGAGGGTGCGCAGGGGGTGGTCCCTCACCACGGCCACTATGCACGACGGTCGTCCAGGGCATAGCAGGCGTTGCATTTCCTCGACGCCAGACGGGGTGCGCAGGGGGTGGTCCCTCACCGCGGCCGCTGGCTGGCGCGAATCTGTCCTCGATGGAGGATAGAAGGCTAGGAAGAGGGAGGAGGTTCAAGCAATATGGCGTTGGATGACACATAGGGGAACATTTGCGACGAGGGTTCAGAAGGCAGAATTGCGCATATATTCTAAACTTAAGCAAACACCTAAAATCTAAATTAAGTATGTGGGGTTCCTCGGTAGCGTAATTTTTAATTTTTGAACAATCCCCTGTAGAGGGACAGGCCCGACTTCAGGATATGGAAGTAGAGGACCGTGGCCTGGAGAGTCGAACGCGTCGAGTCGTCGGAGGTCTGGGTATACCCGGTCCACGAAAGTCGTGCATCCTTCGCCGCGTGGACCTCAGGACGGCCCGACCCTTTCCCCAGGACCGAGGCTTCATCCTGGGGAGGAGGAGGGGGAGGAGGAGGAGGAGGAGGAGGAGGAGGAGGAGGAGGAGGGAGGAGGAGGAGGAGGAGGAGGAGGAGGAGGAGGAGGAGGAGGAGGAGGAGGAGAGGAGGAGGAGAAGGAGGAGGAGGAGGAGGAGGGGAGGAGGAGGAGGAGGAGGAGGAGGAGGAGGAGGAGGAGGAGGAGGAGGAGGAGGAGGGGAGGAGGAGGAGGAGGAGGAGGAGGAGGACGGTCCTGGCGCCCAGCCGTCTCCTCCACTGGCAACTGACCGAACGCTGCCCCCATCTCCTGCGGATGGGTCTCTGGGTTCCGAATCCAGCGCCGGCGCAATCGCGACCTCCGAACCCGCAATTCAACGGCGGACGGAGCAAGACCCGCACGACGGAGAACGACCTCGTCCGAGAGAGCCGACGCCGCAGAACTGGTTGGCCTGTTTCGTTTCGAACTGGAACGCCTCGCTCATCGACGACCTCCATCTTCTAGCACGCGGCCCCTCCGAATATCTTTCGAGCGGGGCCCGCGAGGACCTGGTCCAATCTGCGCCCCCGTGCCTCCGAGGTGATCGCGGTGCCCGACCCCGACCGGATCGCCCCCTGGACCACCGCCCCGAACGCCGTCCTCGTCAATATCCAGACCTCGTTTTCGCTCCAGAAACGCCCCATGGAGTAGTGGCACCGTCGGGCCGCCAGAATGCGCCGCCGAAGCCCCCCCTGGGCGCGCCAATTGCTGGGCGCCTGGGCCCTGAGAGCCACGTTCCCAAACTGAGCCCGACCGAAATGCGGCGTCGATCCTCCCAAAACCTCGGCATTGCGCCCATTCGATCCTGGACCGACGAAGGACTGAGAGATACTGCTTGTCATTGGATAGTGCGAGTAGCCGCCCGCGCCCAGAGCGCGCTGCAGGCGCTCGCGGGCGCGCTGCAACGTGAACCGCGCGTTCCTGGCAGTCGTCGCGACCTGAGTCTTGCTGGTGCCACCTGCGTAGATGCGGCAAGACAAGTCCACGGGAGCCTGCGAGATGGGCGCCCAGGCTGCGCGCGAGCCCTCGCTGGGCCACAAGATGAAATCTGAAATCGACGGAGGCGTCGGAGGCACCAAAGGATGACAACTCCAACTGTCATAGTCCTGCGCGGGGGGTGGTGCCTCTATATGCTGAGTCTGTTTGTCGACGATCGTCGAGCCACTGCCGCGCGGGCCTCGCGAACGTTCTGGCGAAGAAGACCGCCGCGGCGGCGTCGCCCATGAAGGCGCCGCATAGATTGCGCATGGTCTGCCCCCCGTCGGCCGCGCAGATGGAGAAGGTGCTGCGCTCGCGGCACCCGTGGAAAAAACTCTGATCCGCATCCTTGATCGACCCTGTCACGGTCTCGCGCGGCGAGCTGAAAGTAGAGCAGCCGAACGCAATTGCCACGTCCTCCTTCGACGTCGCCGAGGGGGGCCCTGCCCGGCGACGCCTCCAAAGCAACGCCTCCCGGCAAATCGTGGCGCCCTCGCGGCTGCGACCGTGCAAGTAGCCGCGGTCGCGGGGGGGCGCCGCGCCGGGTGGTCAACGTCGCAGTTGCGCCGTAAACCGCAGCACACCCGCGCGGCGCAATCCATGAAGGCAACGTCGGGCCGCGAAGCCCCCCTTGCTATTCTGCTTGTCCCAGCCCGTTGCCCGAGAACGATGCCGCGCGATGGGGGTCCATTGAACCCTTCGAATATGCCGGAACACCTTGCTCAATGCTTCAAGGCTGAACTCGTTGCCGGCGGGCCCGTACACCTGCGCCCCGCGCCCGCTTTGATAGCCTGCCAGTCGCGCGCGAGGGACAAACCGAGGCCGGGGGGTAGGGGCGTCATAGACCCCCCCTCGTCGTCGTTGTCGCCGCGCCGGCGCCTCGGTTTGCGGCTCGAGCCATCGGGGCGACGACTCGGGCCCGGGGTCGCCGTGGGGACCTCTGCCGGCGCCGAGCGCAGCGGCGCCGCCTTGCGCCCGGGCGTCTTTGCCGCAAGCTCCGCCGCCCAAGCTCCGCCGCCCAGCTTGGCCTTGAAAAGGCTTGAGCCGCCAAGCGGCGGTGAAGAGAGAGGGAGAGAGAAAGGGCAAGCAAAGAGGCAAGGGCAGGAGCAAGGGAACCGCAAGTGGAAGCCCGCGCCAGTTCTGGAAGCGGGGGGATCCATCAGTTTTACCAAACATCCTATTGTCGCTGCCGAACGACGGCGGCGGCGGTGAGCCCTCCAGCGGCCGTTGCCGGCGCGCGGCGTAAGTCCACGGGCGCCGCCTCGAAGCCGCCAGCATGGCCAGGTCCACGGAGAAAGGCGCGCGCCTCCTCCATGCGCGGGGCGAAGGTGGAGGCCGCGTTGGTGCGCCGTTTCCTCGGTCCGCTGCACTTCCCTGCTGGCTGATGGGCCGGCCTCCAGACGTCGGCGCAGCGTTGGCCCTTCCAGGCCTCGGCGATCTCGCCCAACACCCGAGGTCATCTCATACTGCCGCCGACAACGTCGGATGCGCGTGGTGCACCTGGTGAGCAGAATCTGGTGGCCAAGCCGCCCCCTCCTCGTTCCCGCTCGTCGCGTCTGTCGCGCAGAAGCCGGCCAGGAGCCCGCGCATACTCTCAAGGGCGAGAGTCGTGCTGTAGGCCTCTGGTGAAGTGCCGCTCCGCCACCAAAAACCGTCGCGATCCACTTCTCCCAAGCCCCGTCGGGGGCCGCCTCTCGCAGGAGGAGGTCGTGGAAGCCTGGCATGGCCCTGAGCTGCGTCTCCGCGTCCTCCATAAAGGCGGCCACGCCCACCCCTTGCGCAACGCCTGCGCGAGCCTGTCGAAGTCCCACTTCGGCGCGACCGCTCGAGGGCTGCTGAGGTCGAGTGTGTAGTCTAGCTTGAATAACAATAGCAGGTGGTCCTGGCCGCCGCTGCTCCTGTTGAGCTTCAGTCGCAGGTTGGAGCGCGGCGTGGCGCAGCAATGCACCGCGAGACCCAAAGCCTCGGCGAACGCGGCGATATAGTCGTTGTGGCTCGAGCCCGCGCGGTTGTAGAACGTGCCCCCGTGTCGGAACCATGTACAGGTGACCGTAGTGGAATGCTTCTCGAAGATCTCCAGAAGCTGATCCGCGGCGTAATGCTGTTCCCCAGTAGCGCGCGCGCCAGCTGCCGGTGACTGCGCCTGCTCCTGAGCGCCGCCTCGACGTCGACGCAAGCCGAAGGAGTCGTTGATATCGAACCCTGCGATCGTGGTCGACCTCTCGTGGCACCAGGTGGCCACCTGCTCGACCCGCTGGCACACGGCGTCTTCCGTGGCCTGGTAGTGGGCTTGCCCTGTCTGGTCGGGCCCCACCGTCTCCCGATCTTCACGGCGACCGCTGGGCCGAGGGGGAAAGTACATGACAGGTAGCCGCAGGTCGAAGCGCCCCGACCTCAAGCGGAATAAGGCATCGCGCCCTTGCAGCTGAATGGGCACCGCAGGGACATCATAGACGCCCCTCTCCTTGAATGTCCAAATGCGCAGCAGTAGCACGATCCCGCAAGTCTCGTTCACGAAGCGACTCGGGCGGAAACTGCAGCGAATCGAGAAGTGGTACCGAACTAGCGTGCACGTGGGGACCCAGTCGGCAGCTGCGCGATCCCCTGAATACGAAATCCCAATGATGTGTGTCTGAGCCAACTCTTCCGAGATGTCCTGCAATCTCTCGACCGACGCCGCGTGCTGCCCATTCCAGTGGATTTAGTTGAACATCCTTCGAACAAGCGCAGCGAACAAAAATCAACAGCATGAGAAGACGTAGTAGTGACTGAAAAATGTTGCGGGGAGAGGGACACATGCGGTAACGGAAGCGTGCCACGGCCGCTGGTACGCCCGCCCGTCTCGCAGGAACTCCTGGGCACGGGGGGGCTGGAGGAGGAGGAGGAGGAGGAGGAGGAGGAGGAGGAGGAGGAGGAGGAGGAGGACGAGGACGAGTGAAAAAGGAGGAGGAAGAGGATGGGCCAACTGCCTCGAGCCTCGCATGTCGAGGTCGCTTCAGCAACCCCCGTCTGGCGCTCCCCGACCCACCGAGTAGGGGACGAGGTCGCGCTGCGTGATCCGCGCGGAGTCCCCGAACCTGGAAACACGAAAATACGCACCACTCACAAACTTTCGGGGGTCCGCGCGAATGTTTTTGATCGGCGCTGGGCACTATTCCCTGGCGCGCAGAGCGCGCGAGGGGCGGCGCCGTGGCGCCTGAAGTGCCACCAGAAGGGTCCAGCGCCGATCCAAGAAAACCGCGCGGTCCTTTACAGTCTCTGCAGACATCCGACGTCGCCAACATATCTCAAGATGGCACCTCAGACGTCTGGACCCCCTCCCCAAAGATCAGCTCTTCTGCCCGAGCTGATTTGTACGGTCCTGGGGCTCAGTGAGGGCCCCCAAGAGGCCGAATGTGAACAGAAACCTTCCGACGTGCCATGTCAGAGTCCGAGAACCTTGGCGGCGCGCAGAGGGGGGGGGGGGCAGCGGGGGAGGCCTCTTAGAAGCGGGCTGCTTCTTCTTAGAAGGCGCCGGCCTTACGCGTATAGAGAAGGCCCGCGCCTTCGAAGAAGCAGGCGTGCTTCTAAGAAGCCTCCCCCCCTCCCCATACCCCCTTTTGCGCGTGGCCGAGAACCGCACTGCCGCCACGCCGGCGGACAGGAGCGCTGCCATGAGCCGGTCCACGGCGACGTGGGAGTCCGCGGCCGCCAGGAGCGGCTTGCCGCGGTAGGCCGCCTTCGGCCGGAGGGACACGGTAGGCTGCGCACACAGACGGCCCCGCCCCCCTGAGGCAGTCCAGACGGGCCCCAGCAGGCCCCCCGCTGGTGGCGAGCGAAGGAGGGGAGGTGAGAAGGAGAAGGCCTTCTCAGAGGGTTCGGAGGCCCCCCGGCCTTCCGAGAAGTGTTCGATAGGCCTTCCCCGAAGACAGAACAATTGATCAGGAGGCGCGAGGAGGGCTTCGGAGAGAAGTCCGGTCACCTGCTGAGAATGCTGGGCCTGTTTTCCACCACCACCACCATAAGTTGGAGGGGGAAGGAGGACTTCTCCCTCCAACTTATGGTGGTGGTGGTGGAGAACAGGCCCGTCACTTCCTTCTCACTGTCCCCCCTCGCTCGCCGCCGATCCCGAGCTGCACGCGCCGAGGCCAACCGATGACCCGGAGGCCTCGGCGTGGGCAGCTCACACGCGAGGCCTTGCCGCGCCGCGGCCTCGCCAGCGACGACCAGCTACAGCGCGGCCTGTGGATATCAGTAAGTCGGGCGTGTCCTCCAGGATTTTCGACGAAAAATGAAGCATACCCTTAAAAAGTGCTACAAAATGATCAAAAATACTGAAAAAATAGTCCCCGTACTATTTTGTTGACTATTTTTGAATTTTCCCCCTGTAGAGGGACAGGCCAGACTTAAGGTTATCACCCATCAGCGATGAGCCGGGAGAAGCTGGCCCGTGCTCCGTACGAGCCATGCTTGAACTCCCTTCCGGCACCGCTCCCACACGGCACGGTGCATGGCTCTTTGGTCTCGGGGGCCGAACACATATATGCACCGTACGATTCCTGGGCCGAGGATCGACGACGCCTCGGGAGATGCTGGCGCGGTACGGTGTACACAAGTCGTCCGCGGATGAGCGAGACATGGCGTGAGGGGAAGCATCGGCCTCCTTCGAACCCCACGCCTTCTGGGGCCACAGCCCCCTTCGGCCTCAACAGACTTCAGTGGGGCAACCCAGGGGGGGCTCCACACGCCCGCGCGGCCTCCCGCGGCACTTCCCCGGGGCGCTCTCCGCCCCAAGGTCAGGGTGCTGAGGACATCCCAGCCTGCCCTGGGGTCTTCGGGGCCAGCCTGGACTACCTCCGGGGGCTGTCTTTCCGCGAAAACCCCAAGCCTTCCCACCTTCAGCAGCGCGCTGGCCAGTCGCGTCTTTCCGCACCCCGGAGGTCCTTGGATCAGACTCACTCGCGCCTCCTCAATGGACCGCGCTGCGGCCACCTGAGCGTCGTTCAATCCCGAAGCGGACAACTCCAAAGGTAACGGGTCGATCCTGTTGTTGTGCTTGACCTCCTTTTCCAGCAGCACGCTGAGAAAAGCTGGGTCCAGCGTCGAGTCCACTAGGCAATCCAGTGATTTCATCGTCCGGTCGTAGGCAACCTTGTTGATCCCCAGGTCCAGCCGAAAGACGCCCTCCCCTTCTGGAGGACTCTGCATCAACACAACAATGGCGCTTTCTGACAGGGCCCCGAAATCGGCGTAGCGAATCGTGCTCCTCCGTCTTCCCCCTGCCGCCTCCTCCCCAGAGCGGAAGGATGGGGGGGAGGTACAATCATGGTGCTACCAGAAGGAACGCTGAATAGGGAACGAATTGTTTTTTTCTGGCCAAGGCGAGCCTCGGCAGCGAACAGGTTCTCCGACATAGACCTAAAGACTGGTCCGAAAATCAGAGCCCATCCTGAACCCAAAGTGGCCCGCATTTCAGCGTCTTCGCCAGAAGAGGGGGGCACTTCACTAAAAAGATTTCTGCGCCCAGTTCTGATGCAGAGAACACCAGCGCGTTCGGGGGCGCCAGCAACTCCATGTCAGAATAACCTGCGTGGTCTTTTGCTCCCTCTCCTCCAGCTTCTCCTCCTCCTCCTCCTCGTCCTCCTCCTCCTCCGCTCTCTCCGCACCACCCCTGCTTGATGTCAGGAGGCGCATCGCCGTTTCCTCCTCCTCCTCCTCCTCCTCCTCCTCCTCCTCCTCCTCCCCTCTCCCTCCTCATTCTTGGAGCTCTCTTGTGCTGCTCGAAGCTCTCTTGACGCCGTCTTGGTGCCCTCTTGGGGGCTTCTTGGGCCGTCTGGGGCCGATTTCGAAAACCTTTGGGGCCGTCGTGGCCGCTGTTAGGACTAACTAACGAATATCCCAAACAAATGCGTTGTTCCATCGGAGATGCTTGATTTTTGCCCTTGGGGGGCCTTCTCGGCAGCCTCTTGGACCGTCTTGAAAGAGTCCGTTTTGTATCTGTTTGGCTCGTCTGCGAGCCCATTTCGGCCATCTCTTGGCACGTCATGGGGAGCTGAGCCCGTCTTGGGGCCCCCAATCGACCATGTAAGGATCCTCTGGTGGCCCCCTCGGGCCCCCGGGGGACTCTCTTGAAGCCGTCTTGGAACTCTTTTGTGCTGCTCGAAGCTCTCTTGACGCCGTCTGAGGCTGATTTGGGGAGCCTGTGGGGCAGTCGTGTCCGCTGTTAGGACTCGATAGAAATACCGCAAATATGCGTTCTTCCATCGGAGAAACTTGATGTTTGCCCTTGGGGGGCCTTTCCGGCGGCCTCTTGGACAGTCTTGACGGCCTTTGTGGCTGTCTGGGAGGCCATCTCGCTGCGCTCTCCAGCCATCTTCCAGACTATCTGGGGAGCTTAGGCTCCCCCTCCCCCCCTCCATCTCCTGCTCCTGCGTTTCCTCCTGTTCCTCTCGTTCTTCCTCCTCCTCCTCCTCCTCCTCCTTCTGCTCCTCCTTCTGCTCCTTCTTCTGCTCCTCCTCCTCCTCCTCCCGCCCCTCCCCCCCCTCCTCCCCCTCCGCCTCCTCATCTGGAGCGGCCTCCGCGGCACTCGCTGACCCACACGGGGTCGCCCCTCCCGAACCGGTGGTGCGGCAGGTGGCCCCCGCGCGCCACTGCGAAGCGCACGGACACGCGCCCGAACATGGGCTCCCGGATCTCGCAGGTCAGGCCGAAGATGGCCAGGCCCTCCTCCTCGCGAGGAGGCTGCAGGCTGCGCGGGCCGAGGGTCGACCCTTTCTTACCCGGGGAGGAAGGGCCGAGCTTGGGCCCATCACCCGAGGAGGGAGAGCAGGCGGAGGAGGAGGAGAGTGAGAAGGAGTACCGTCGGGGCGTTGACCTAAGGAACGATAAATAAGGAACGAGGCCCCTAGCCCCTATTTTCCATAAGTTAAACTTCGATGTCATATCGGAAACCTACGGACAACCTAAGGCAAGCTGTAAAACGATCAAGGAACACCGAGCCCCTCCCCAACGAACAGGGTTCCTTCTTCAGGGCGCCGACTGTACCTCTTCTTACCCGGTGGGGGAGGAATTGCCGAAGTCCGAGGCTCGCAGGTGACAGAAGTTTGGCATGTGCTGATGCTTTCTATGCTGAGCGAAAGCAGAGTAACGATACACCTAGGTCTGGACGCTGTGTCTGCGGGAGCAGGAAGCAGCACCAGTGACGCGCCGCCGCCGGGGAGCCGTCCGCGTGCCGTCGTGGACGAATCGCCATGCCTTCAGACGAAAACGAAGGAGTGACGCGCTGGCGGGCTCCAAGCGGCTGCGCGTCACTCGCACTCTTGCTTCCTCTCGACAGTCGGGCGCCGCGGGCGTGACCCAGAGCGCTCCAAAATGCTCCGAGAGAGCTCGGGGAAGCGGAAACGACCTAAAGTAGGGGCCCGACCACAAGAAACCTTCAACAAGAGGCCCAACCCTGAGACCCCAGAGCGTCCATTGACTTTTGGTGTGGGAGCGTCGCGCTTTCCATGGCAATGCCATCGAAACCCAAGGAACCGAGGGCACCCTTGAGGCCAGCAGGGTGTTTCTTGGCATGGGCCTCCACTGCACGCTCATCCTAGGCTTTCCTGCCTCAGGGAAATACGCACGCGGCCTCGGCTAGACTCACGTCGAAATTCTGGCCAGAACGCACCCGCATGCTAGGATGGGTCCAGGCATCGACCTTTGCCCCTTTGACCCAAGTGCCCTCGCACTGGCAACTTTCAACCACTGGGGGCCCTCATCGGACACCAGAGCTGTCAAACATCGTTCCGGGATGACTCGCCTTCGATGGGGACTGAAAGCTCCAACGTCGTGACTATTTTTCAGTGTGGACTCCCAGAGGTTCCGACCCCTTCCCAGGGACCAGGTTGTCATTCCGAATTGTTTTTGACGGTCCGGCGGAGATCGGCGAGGGCCACGGGAACAATATCAACAACAACAACAACCATCTTGCGAACATCGGATGTAACAAGCAACTGTGGCCTTCATGTGTTTTCCCCTCTCCCTCGCACCCGCCAGCGAAGTCCTTGGACCAACCCCCTTTGGGGGGGATTCGTTTCATACCAGCTCCTTGGGGAAGGATTCGGTACTCTCTATATGCGCACCACATTGCCACGGCCGCCAAACGTGCTGACGCGCCCGCGGGCCAAGGCGTCTCGGAGTAAATTGAGGAGGTATCGAGCGGGAGCCGTTGTCGTCGTAGCTGCCCACCCCCCTCCCCAACTTGAACGAATTGCGAAGAGGATTCGAGCCAGACCACAGTTCCTGAGTTTCGAAGCTTCTCTGGCCATGGCCTCTCGAAGTAAATCGCGCAGAATTATCGGGCGAGAGCTGCTGTCATCGTAGCGGGGCGTCCACGAACGTGCGTGAATTGTGAGGATGTCTCGAGCCAGAGCGCAGTTCCTGAGCTTCGAGGCCTCTCTGGCCAGAGCGTCTCGGAATAAATCGCAAGGAAGTGTCGAGCGGGAGCCGCTGTCGCCGTCGCTAGAATTCCACGAACTTGCATGAATTGCGAGGGTGTCTCGAGCCAGAGCGCCGTTCCTGGGCTTCGAGGCCTCTCTGGCCAGAGCGGCTCAGAATAAATCGCAAGGAAGTGTCGAGCGGGAGCCGCTGTCGCCGTCGCTGGAATTCCACGAGCTTGTGTGAATTGCGAGGATGTCTCGAGCCAGAGCGCCGTTCCTGAGCTTCGAGGCCTCTCTGGCCAGGGCCCGTCGAAGTAAATTTCGAGGAAGTATCGAGCGGGAGCCGTTGTCGTCGTAACCGGGCCCAAAAAAGCACACATACACAATCACGCCCCCGCTCGAGCGGGAGCATCGTTTTCACAGAAAATGAAGCCGGCGTCGAGGCGAGAGCGCCCAGGCAACTTTCCGGAGATGAGTAATAATCATTCTCTAAAGATGAATCTTCAACAACAACAACAACAACAATCATTTTACCCGAACGCTCAGTGTTCTCACCAGTGCCAGGGTTTTCATGCGACGCGAGACAATACCCCCACTTCGTGGGGGGGCAGTTCAAGCTCTACCAAATATCCAAACGACTCTTCGCGACCACCCAAACCCAGCTTCCCGCCCTATGACGTTGGGACACTTCACTTCGTGGCGTGCGGACGACCGTGGCTACTACACTGGCGTGGGGTACACACCCACAGAACTTGGTCACTTATTCGGGGCGCGCGTGTGCCCAGCATCCTGCAATTGTGACATACAATACATGACACAGACAGACAGAGAGAGAGACAGAGAGCAGACAGAGAGAGAGACAGAGAGAGCGGAGTTGGTCACATTTTTGGGGCAAGTTCCTGAGATCGTCGTGTTTTTTGTTGGTCTTGCGCGCGCGAATGTCCACTTTACTTTTTTTTGCAAGGGAGTATTGAAATTTGATTATGTTAGAACAAGAAAAAGTAGCTCGCGCGAGCTCATGTAACATAAATGTTGAAAAACCATTGGTTTTGTGGGAGTCGGACAGCGCGCGCGGGATGAAATTTGGACATTTTTTTTTTGAAAAACCATTGGGTTTTTGATGTTTTTATGTTGAAATCGTTACGAAACCTAAGGTTCTGGAAGGATTTCGTCTTGCGCGCGCGAATGTCCACTTTACCTTATTTTTTGCAAGGGATTATTGAAATTTGATTATGTTAGAACAAGAAAAAGTAGCTCGCGCGAGCTCATGTAACATAAATGTTGAAAAACCATTGGTTTTGTGGGATTCGGACAGCGCGCGCGGAAGGACATTTTGACAATTTTTTCTTAAAAAACCATTGGGTTTTTGATGTTTTTATGTTAAAATCGTTACGAAACCTAAGGTTTTGGAAGGATTTCGTCTTGCGCGCACGAATGTCCACTTTACCTTATTTTTTGCAAGGGATTCTTGCAATTTGATCAAGTAAGAACAAGAATTTTCATTTTATAGTGTTTTTTGCAAGGGAAAACGGATTACAACAAAACAACCGGATCCGGTGACAATCCACTTTTCTGAAGCTTTCGCTAGAAAATGAAGGAAATGAGGCTGCGGCCTAGGTTTTGGAGGGGGGTCGCGCACCAGGGGTCTCAACAATAATATTTCTTTAGAAGTAATAATATTCAACAACAACAACAACAATTACTAGCACGTGGGGACACTCCGTTCTCACCAGTGCCAGGGTTTTCATAGGAGGCGGGCAATACCCCCACTTTGTGGGGGGGCCGGTT